TTGTGTTTCCTTGAGTTTCCATTCACTCTCCAGTTTATCGAGTCTTGCTTGTTGGCCATGTAAACTTCGTGTAGCTTTTGCCTGTTCTTGTTTGGCTGCAAGGTCTGCTTCTGCATCTGCACGTTTACTAGAGGAGCTGGAGGTGTTACTTGGTTCTCGTGATGACTCAGATTACAGTTTCTGTGTTCGTGTTTCCAAAGACAGAGCCATACTCATTCTTATTTAGCACCGCCCTCACTCTCTCCTTCTCAAGTTGGTCGTTGAAAACCTCATCTATATTCTTTTGCCTTTTACTGAGTAATTCACGAATCTCAGCTGTAAGAGTGACACATGCATCCATTTTCTTGGCAATATCTGGAGTAGTGGTATGGTTGCGTCAAATGGGCTCATAATGTTGCTGTACTATGACATATTTGGATTCTGTGTCCTCTGTGCATCTATTTAGGTCTTCAGCTGAGCAGAAATCTTTCAGTCTTAGTCTAACCTCTCTTGCTGTCTGCTTCCAAGAGTCGTAGGCTTTATTGAATGCCTTTTCGTTTTTCTTAGCTTCATTTTCTTGCAACTCTAGGGCTTTTTGTGTTAGACTTCGTTCACGAGAGCTGGACCTAACTTGTGTCTCTGGGGGTTTGTCTGTTTCTTTAGCAGGTAGTGACATTTTGTTTCTCTTTTTCCTCTGTTTGTGCTTTAACTATAGTCTTACAGTGTTTTATATCTAAACTCAATTTAAGTGAATGGTGACTTTAACTTTACCTTTAACTATATACCACTCACATCAGACATTTACACTTGGACACGCTAAGATGAGCAAAACATGAATGATACAAAATGTCACAAACAATAGTACTACTAATGCTCTACAGTCAGACAATTTTTTACCCTTTAAACATTATTACACGTTCGGGAATTAAGTTCTCATGAAATGACATAGATGGTTAAGGGCCCTCTTTAACTATATAGCTCTCTGCTTTACGGCTGTTCTTGAGCTCATCAATTGTGCATACAATGAATTAGCTTAGCAGACAGCTTTAAATCGATTTACCACCTTAACATTGACTATTTTCTTATATGTATTATTGGCTTTAACTTTTAGTCAGCCAAAGTCTCCTACTGCAGCATTGGCCTCCGTACGTTGACGTGCAGGACGTCAGATTATCTCGTATCCGCTGGCTGAGCCGGCACGACGTGGTGAATGGCTCGTGCAGTCGAGTTTTCACTGTAGCTGCCCTCGGCAATAATCACAGCAGAGTCTCGACGGATGCAGTTTCTTTAATGGTCTTTCAATCATGGTGAAAACTAAAATATATACAGACATAGAACAAGTAATTGATTAAATCACAAATATATATTCACGGATCAAACAAACACTTGTAATACAGTCCCTGTAACGTACCTCGCTCCGCTCACCGAGGGTGCAATATGTGCGACGTCAGGCATGGCAGTCCTTATCTTAATATATCACTTGGCACTATGATCAGTTGAGCCAAGGAACAACACACACAGTTTCAATTAAAGCCTATATAAACCGATTATATAACACAATGTTCGTAGCAATTCAGTAACTTACGTGTATGTTTGAGAGGTCCGTAGCACAGGCTAGACCTCGTTGCCTGGCAATAGTTTAAATCAGTTATGATTCCGGGGTTCGCAGCGTCACACCCATACCTACGCCCGCCCCTAACCATGCATATTAAAATAACGTAGCGGTCAGTTACAGGACCCGTTGTAGGCATTGGGCTAGGATCTTTGACAGGATCTTTAGGTCAACATTTAAGAGGGAGATGGGCCTATAGCTACCACACATAAGAGGGTCTTTATCACTCTTAAGCAGAAGAGAAATGGAGGCCTCCGACAGGGTGGGAGGCAGGCGGCCCTCAGCAAAAGACTCATTATACATTCTCTGGAGGGCTGGTGCAATTGTGCCAGGGAGTAACTTAAAAAATTCAACAGAAAACCCATCAGGGCCTGGAGTTTTACCGTTCTGAAGTGAAAATAATTGCCTCCTGTACTTCCTTGATAGAGATCGGACTTCCCAGCTCCTTACACAAATCCTCAATTATTTTGGGGAAAACTGTCCTATCTAGAGGATTATCTCCATCCCAAACATCCGGAGGACATTGGGAGGAATAGAGGTTAGTGTAGAAAGAACAAAATATCTTATTGATCTCTGTCGGGTCCGAGGAAACTTCACCTAAAGTAGATTTGATCTTGGGGATCAATCTGGATAGTGTAGCTGCACGCGCCTGGTGTGCTAATAATCTTCCCGCTTTGTCCCCAGTCTCAAAGAAACGTTGTCTAGCGAGGAATAACTGCTTCTGAGTCTTACATGTGGACATTAAATCAAATTTGGACTGAAGTTGAAGGCGTTCCTTATAAAGCAGGGGTAGGAGCTAAAGCATACAACTGATCAATTCTAAATACCTCCTTAGTGAGCGCCTCCGACTCTCGCCTTTCTGCCTTCCTTAGGTTTGAGACATAGGAGATGATTTGGCCACGCATAAACGCCTTGCATGTTTCCCATAGCGTGCGTCTAGAGATCTCTGGAGAATCATTAGTATCAAAGAACAAGGAGATCTGCGTATGGAGGAATTCTTTAAAGGAAGTGTGGGCTAGTAGGGAGGAGTTAAGTCTCCATTGTCTGGATGAGGGGACCCGACTAGGAAAGCTAATATCAATAGATACGGGGGCATGGTCTGAGATAACAATGCTATGGTATTCACATGAGTGGACCTCTGATAGAAAGTAATTATCCAAGAGAAAAAAATCTATCCGAGAGTACGAATGATGGACGTGTGAAAAAAATGAAAAGGCTTCGACTGAATGGGATTTGGCTCTCCATGGGTCGAATAAACCTAAACTAGATTTATATGTATCAAGGACTTTAGCTGACTTGGATAACGCCAGAGGCTTAGAGGAAGACATGTCTAGGGAGGGGTTTTGAGTTAAATTGAAATCGCTGCCGATAATTAAGTAGAGGTCATCAACTTTAGGGAGTGAGGAGAAAAAATGTTTAACAAATGTATCATCCCATGTTGGTGCATAAGCACAGGCCATAACCACCGGCATACTACACAGTCTACCAGAAATAATTACAAATCGACCATTTGGGTCCTCAATGGAGTTTGATTACTCAAATGGAACATTCTTGTGTATAAGGATAGCCGCACCCCTTGCCCTAACTGGGAATTTAGAGTGAAATTCATCCCTTATCCAAGGTCGCTTGAGAAGGCCAACCTCTGAGGAACGAAGGTGGGTTTCTTGTAAAAAGAAAATATCACCCCTAAGTTGCTTTAAATGAGTCATTACCTTATTACGTTTGATGGGCTGGTTGGCACCCTTCAGGTTCCAGGAGATAAAGCGAAGATTCTTACCCTGAGTCGTCATATCATAAGGAGACGAGGGGCACTAACTCTCCCATGGCTGACGTGACTCCCGAGCCAAAGGAAAAGGGGAGAAAGCAAAACAAAAACACATAACAAGAAAAACACACAAACAAAAAAAATAAATAAATAAATAACAACAATAATCAACAACCCTCCCACCCCCCATTCCCTTATACAAACCAAGCGCGACCACATCTTCACTCCCAACAGGGTATCCCTTTCTGCTTCCTACTCTTACTCAGAGGTCAACCAGTTAAACCAGTGGTTCTCAACTGGTGGGTCGCGACCCAAAAGTGGGTCGCGGACCCGTTTGAAGTGGGTCGCAGATGTGTGAGTGAAGAAAAAAAAATTTTGAACTTTTTTTTTTTTTTGGGGGGGAAAAAGTCAAACTTTTATTTTGAAGGCCCGATTTTCTAACGCTGTGCATGCAGTAGGCGTTGGACTGGAAGTACCGGAGACCATGAACGGTTTTGAAAAAACTTCTGTCACGTAGTGATCATCTTCTCAATAAAACATCTTTGCTGATGTTTTTCCGAGTTTTCTGGCCTTTGATCAGAATCAAGATTGTTGCCGGAAGTCCCCACGGAGAATAACTTTGCGGTAGAACTACTCTTTATACATCCATGGGTACAACTTCAGATAGAAATCAACACATAATGAAATATGACCCCCAGTTTGATGATTGACAGGCAGTGGCGGCGCCAGAGATTTGCTCTAGGGGGTGCTGTGGGGTAGCTTGACGTTTCATAGAGGGTGCTCAAACATTAAGGGTTTCCCATTAATGAACCAGCGCTACAGTTGAATTTTCTACTGCAACACACCCCACACACACACACACAGTGTGCCCGCGACTGTT